CCCCCCCCCCCGCATAACATATTAAATCTTTCATCTTTAAACATCGAATTAAATAGCAAAACGAAATAATTTAAAAATAGCCTACATATACGGAATATAAACGTTGTAAACATAGGTTCTAAGTAACGCTTCCATTATCAATTATTTGCAATTTCATTCTCTTTTAATTAGTTATATCATATGCGACTGACAGTTGTTTTATTGAATAAAAATATTAGAATTTTATTGCAAAATTGATAGAAAAGATACCACATATTTATTTTCCGATATTTCAATCAAATAAAACGGGTATAAAATTGGGGTGATGTAACCATGAGCGTTAATTATTCGCATCAAAGTGAAATTGAATCATTAGACTTTATCCAAAAACATTAATAGAATTAAATTAAAGGGTGACGACAAGGGAGAAGGTAGCCCACTCTTAGTGGCAAACTACTTTTGGATAGCACTCGAGAATAATTCCACAAATAGGCCGAAGCATATAATAGAGTTTATGCGTGACGTCTCTTTTTATTTCTTTCTCTCTTCCATTATTCCAATAAAATTTAATAACATGTGGATGTAAGAAATATGAATGTGGGAAAATCACTAATCAATAATGGATGGACCGACCAATCCCCAAATTGGAACAATGGTATGCGTTGCGTAACTTTACACATGCATCATTTTATTAGCACGGAACTTCAACCATTATTATAAGAATTTAACACAAAAAAAAACAATTATTATAAGAATTATGAACGTAAACATAACCATAGATTTGTTAAAACTTATCATGTCTCCTACTCGACAATCCAATATTAGATTTTGCATTCCTTTTTTATTTCATAATCTTCGACTTAACTCTATCTAAATTATGGAACTGATGTATCCTCCTATATATATATATATATATATATATATGCATACACGAACACATGGAATTTCACAAAAAAAAAGAACTTGACCCCATGGAGAGAAAAAAAAACAGAGCATGACACAATCAATATACGTGTGTGTGCACACTCACACACAAACAAACGAGGGTTCAGACATGTATGTCCGTATACGTGCAGACATGCATATATATGACGTCAACGTACCCAATTACCCCTCGGGTTGAATAATAACATCATGTTGGTCTATCGACGTATGAACTATTGATTACAGATTATATAAATGCATATTCTACATATTTCCAAATTAAAAATTAAACTGATAGTCTAATATAACATAAATTATCATTCTGAAAAATAATTTTAATACCGTCTTTTATCATTTCATCAATCATCATCATGAATCTACGCTTGTACCTCGTAACTTGTAGTCAAATTGACCAGGAATTAAAGGGAATGCTTGCTTAACTAAACTCGGACATCTTGAGAGAACGTAGCCACGTCATACTTCAAATTTTTTTAAAATGTAATATCCACGCTCGATTAATCCCCAAAATAAATAAATAAATAAATCAAAAACCATGTATAGGAAACGATATTGTAGAGACTTAAAAATTAAAACACCGATGAAATATATATACATGTATCTATGTTGTTTTTGTACGGCTAAAATTGTAATACATTTTTCAGTTTTGGATAACAAAATAGTCGATTAAAATGAGATGGAATTATAGGGGAGTTATATATATATATATATATATATATATATATTCACTATATGCTTAGATCGTTATAAATTTTCCTAATCGAATCTGCCTGGCAAAGCACTGTCAGTTTAATAAATATATGAACAGGATTTTTATATAGAATCTGTAGCATGTATACATCTATATATGCTACAGAAAACGCCCGAACCATATTTTATTTTTCAAATACTTAATGAAAAAAAAAGAAGATGAAGACGCGTCATTAATAGTGATTTTAATTATACGGAATTAATTGGAGTTACAAGTTTATTAAATAATCAAAGGGGCAAGTTGGAGGTGTTGGGGACATGCATTGTCTCCTATGGTATTTGAAGGGCCAATCTGTTATAATCAAAGGTTGTAATATTATGTTGATTCCTTCACCTAACTATAATACTACTGTTTACACACACACACACACACACATATATATATATTACTACTCATATGGTTTTAATTACTATAGGAATATATGAATCTCATGAGTTTTTTTTGGTTAAAGAATTAATTTTTTTGTTAAAATGAATCTCATGAGTCGGCAGAATATGATATTGTATTCATGTATCATTATGACTAATATCTCTAAGAAGTAATGAAATACATTGTAAACGAAGGAAACTATTGTTTATAGTATATAATTATGATATATATATTATATATATATATATAACCTAATTCCTATACGGATGACAAATCTAATTGTACATAATAATAAATATAGGTTGCTTGGTGAATTGAAACATTCAAAGTTCTACACGTTGGTCGGTCAGCCAATACATCAGCATATTATAAAATACCGAGCGGAATCGAATTTAACATATGATTATTAGTTGGCCAACAGATTACTTGAATAAATTCTCGTTCGATATTTTATCTGATTATCCAAATAGCCGTTACAATGTCACTTGAGACGCAAGCAGAATCACGGCCTCCAGAATCTACACGCGCCATACAGCGAGTGTTCTGCACGCGTCGTATCCTTATCTTAACCGCCACTGCTCCCCGCGAGAATCTTGCAACTATCGTTACACGCTCCTCACCCGCGCGTATTACGTTACCTCCGCCGTCAAGTGAGTTTCAGTTACCGGCGAGGAAAGACCGTTAACCTCGCCGTTAAATCACGGTCGCGCAGGTTAAAGAAGAGGGGCGCAGGATAAGAACCGGGTCTACCTGGTGCGCACATCAGCGAGATAGTGGAGACACGACGAATATAAGAAAAACAAATAAAAATAAATTTAATTTAATTAATCAAAGAGGAAAATATTATGGATATTAAAAATGATAATAATTAGTTTTGACTCGCTGTAGCTTAAAGACAAAAATCACCGAGAAGAGAACCCACATAAAAAAAAAGAGATTTAATTATAATATGGGAAATTTAAAAAAATATATAATTATTTTTAATAGGACAGAAATTTTAAAGAACTCATACAAGGTCTCCTTTAAGTTGTCGTGTTCTTACATGATTCATCTTCTTCTCCTTCTTCAGGATGATGAAACCTGCAGTTTTCAGACAGAAGGAAGAAATTGTACCCCTTTCGCTGTCGGCCCAATTTGAACTGCGGATTTATAGGTTTCACCTCTCACTTTGTCGCTGACGATTTTTTTGTTGCTCTTTATGGTTTTCGCGCGAAAAGTTCGTCTTTTTGAAGCCGCTTTGTCGCGAGAGACCCGAAGAAGGTTCGGCTTCGGATCTCTGTTCTTGCTGGTTTATGTCTCTGGGTTTTTTTGTCTGCCTGGAAGTAGGAGAAAATGGAAATAAAATTTTCTGGGAATCATGTTTTATGACTCCAAATCTCTGTTTGAGTGAAAAATTTCGAACCTTGTTTCACATAAAGCCTGAAACTTTCTCGTTTCCCTGATTCTTGATTATTTTCTTGGCTCCAAGAAAGATCTTTTGTTGGTCAAATTTCGTTTATGGGGGTTTGTCGATCGATCGTTAGATTCTGGGTATAACTGGGCTTGCTTCTTTTCTCTTTCCTGGTTTGCGTACTTAGGTTATTGTCTTTGATTGAAGTTGAAGTCAGAACTGGTTCAGATGTTCCCGGGAATCATCCTCAAGAAGCTAAAGCTAAACTTTTTCTGAAAACCCAGATATTTTCAGATCGAATGTTTCGATGTTAAACTTCTGATTTTCCATTTTTGCATGCCGATTTCTGACTTCTGCAAGATACGCTAATGCTTGCGTTCTTGGATTATGATCTTTGATTCCATTTCTTAGTTGTGCAAGAATCTAATATCAGTGGTAGGCACTGATGAAGAAGAAGAAGAATTTGCTCTTTCGGAAGTGTTTTAAGTAGGTCCACCATTAGTGCAAAAAGGAGAAACAGTGAGAGATCCAACAAGTGACATGACCTTGGAAGATTGGGTCTGTTCCCGGGAATGCAATATAGGAGCAAATAAATTCAGTGATCTTATCTATTAGCACCTTCCAATCACAAAATAAGAACAGGGCTTTCTGGTTAGCAGATCAATTTTGTCTGAAATCTAAGTCGGGTTTGAAGGAAGAACACAGTTCCCATTAGTTCTGGAATGTTAGAACTGATGTCTTGCAAGTTTTTTGGCTTTCATTACAGCTCTTGTTGACTCTGTAATGACAGAACTTCCTTCTATCTTGCCTGCACTTGTCTTTATGATATGTCTGGTTCGATTTTCTGGTAATACCGATGCCTTTTTTAACGACATCCACGATCTTAGTTTGAAAGCTGACAAAGTTTCTTGTCTTAGTGCCAGCTGAGGGAAAGATGAATACAACCTCGACACATTTTGTACCGCCGAGAAGGGTCGGTATATACGAACCTCTCCACCAGATTGGTATGTGGGGAGAAAACTTCAAGGGCAATGGAACTCTGAACACGCCTTGCCCTATCATTGTACCTCCCGATCCAAAATTAGATAACATGGTACCTTCTCCTTCCTTTGATGAGACCTGTTCCGGTTTTCAGACACTAACCCTACTTTTGTTTTCCAGTCAGAAGATACTTCCCATGGGACAGCAGGAACTCCTCACAGGTTCGATCAAGAAGCTTCCACGTCCAGACATACAGATAAGGTAAAAGCATGAACATTTTAGCAACATCTCTTACTCTTACTTGATCTTGGCCGTGTCGATTGAAGCATGTGGTTTGTTTGTATCTTTACAGATTCAGAGACGTCTTGCACAGAACCGTGAGGCGGCTAGGAAAAGCCGTTTGCGCAAGAAAGTATGATCTGTTTCAGCTATGGAGAAAATGATTTACGTTGTTCGGTTCGTATGCTCAGCTCAGGAATTTGATCTTGCAGGCGTATGTTCAGCAGCTGGAAACAAGCCGGTTGAAGTTGATACAATTAGAGCAAGAGCTCGATCGAGCCAGACAACAGGTAAGCCAAAATCATCAGACCCTTTTTCTTTTCCCATTTCAAATTATCTTGACGATGTAGCAATTCGTGATAAAAGAAAACTTTAAGTTGCAGGGTTTCTCCATAGGTGGGGGAGTAGATGCTGCTAGCTCTCTAAGTTTCTCAGGAAGCATGAACCCGGGTTCGTGTCGGGAATTCCACTTTCTATATACTTGTCTGAAAAAAGTTTTCAAATTTTTGGTTTAACGCTCGGAGACTCTTCAATCCTTGCAGGCATAGGTGCGTTTGAGATGGAATATGGGCATTGGGTGGAAGAACAGAACAGGCAGATATGTGAACTGAGGGCGCTTTTGCATGGCCATGCAAGTGATATAGAGCTGCGGATGCTGGTGGACAATGTCATGAAACATTACTTCGAACTCTTCCGCATGAAGTCAGCCGCTGCAAAAGCAGATGTCTTCTACGTCATGTCGGGAATGTGGAAGACTTCGGCGGAAAGGTTTTTCTTGTGGATAGGAGGATTTCGACCCTCCGAGCTTCTCAAGGTATAAATCTCTAAAATACGAATTGTGTTGGAGCTGAAAACAGTAACAGTTGTTGGTTTATTACAGAAATATGATCTTTTTTGCAGGTTCTGTTACCTCATTTGGATGTTCTTACAGAACAACAGCTTCTAGATGTATGCAACCTGAGGCAGTCATGCCAGCAGGCAGAAGACGCTCTGTCACAGGGAATGGAAAAGCTTCAGCAGACGTTGGCGGAAAGCGTAGCTGCTGGGCAGCTCGGGGAAGGAAGTTATGTACCGCAGATGACGTCAGCAATGGAGAGGCTGGAGGCTCTGGTCAGCTTCGTGAATCAGGCAAGTGATTTTTCCCGCGTTAAAACCAGACAGAGATGATGCGTGTTCCTGTTTTGACATGATGACGATGATGGGTGTGGGACAGGCTGACCATCTGAGACACGAGACGTTGCAGCAAATGTACAGGATCTTGACGACGAGACAGGCGGCGAGAGGGTTAATGGCGCTGGGAGAGTATTTCCAACGGCTTCGAGCGTTGAGCTCGAGCTGGGCCACTCGGCAGAGAGAACCCGCGTAGTAGACACAATACAGGGTTATATATATATATATAGACAATACCATGAAGAGCTCAAGAAGAAATGATGAAGTTGGTAGCCTTATAGACCGATTCTTTTTTCGGGTGATGGTTGTGTTTGTAACATTTATAAAAAAAAAATATGTTTATATATGATTTGGGTGACAGTAGAAATGAAAAGATTCGTACATGCATGTGGTTTCACGACGTTCCATACCATAAGAAAACGGTAGAATTCCCAACGTCTGATCTCTAAAATAGACACAAGATTTCCAAGGAGAGAGGAGGAAACCTGGTTACTGTAAGAGGATGAAGAACATCAACGTCAACCAAACTTGAAACCTTTCTGTTGTGTTCTGTCAGATAGTCAATGGAATCAAATCAGATTCTACTTTACAAACATTGCAAAATAATCGAGAATCTAATGAACACCCGAGATCAATCAGATCATCTAGAAGAGAATTTTCAGACGAAGAAGAAAAAAACTCAATGAGCGGAGAAGAAGAATAAAGAAAAAAGAAAGAAAAGAAAGGATCTTCGGCTCGGAAAGGGGAAGAATCCGAATCTCAAACAGAGATTGAGCTCAGATCATCAAGAACTTGTCTGATGTTAGGCCTTTCATTTACAGGTCCAATGCACCTCAGAGACACAGCTAACATGTCCTCCATCGCCTTTGATATTTCTTCCCCTACGGCTATATCTCTGTCAATGCAATCCATTCTCCGGCCTTCTTGATCACACAAACGCACCCAGTCAGGCAGATCGACGGCTCCTGACTGACCCGAGATTATATCACCCGCACTCCTTCTGGTCAGAAGCTCCATCAGGATCACTCCAAAGGTGTAGACATCGGCTTTCAGTGTCGGGTTTGGCTTAGCTGCCGAGACAAGTTCAGGAGCACAGTAACCAAGCGCACCCATGTTCAGTATCTGTTCCGCTATTCCAGCTGGAGTCATTAGGCGGTGGAGACAGTAGTCGGTTAACCGGACGGTATAGTCAGGGCTGCTTGTGAGGATTATGTTCGTCGGCTTTAGGTTTCCATGCGGCATTGATCTATCATGAAGGTACAAAAGACAGCTGGCTACATCAACTGCAACCTTTAGTCTTTGGCTGAAGGACAATGGGGAATACCTCCTTGGGGTAGTCTCTGCAATCAAACATATATATTCAGAGAAAGATGAAGAGAAGATTTCAGAACATTTCAATAGACTCAAAGCTTGTGAGGATTGCATAAGTAATCAATTGAAAGCAATTCAACAGATCAGGAAAGATTAAGGCAAGCAAGAATTGACCACTCATGGAAGAGTTCTCACCATATAAATGCAGAGCCAAGCTATCTCCCCTTGTGTAATCTGAAAGGAGAAGCCTTTCTTGTTCTCGGGGGCCCCAATAGTATGCCCGCAATGGAACGATATTTGGATGCCTCAAGGAACCAAATTTCTTTGCTTCCTTTGCGAAATCTTTCTTATGCTTCACAAGTCCAATCCTCAACCATTTCACTGTCAGCATGTACCCATTATCCAGTGTAGCTTTGTATAATGTTCCATGGCTGCTTCTGCCCAGAACTTCAGCTGGAGCCCGGGATAATTCTTCTGCTGTGAATTTCAGTGAAGCATCTAAGAAGAAAAGTTCTCCGGCCAATCGATCTGGTGAGTACACATCCAACATCACGGGCTGTTCGCTAAAACGGGGTGAGGACAGTGGGGAGCCTCCTGGGGAAGATCTCCTTCCAGATACTGCAGGATAATCATCAAGGAGATTAGGGTTTGTGGTTGCTGAAGTCGCTGTGTTACCCACGGGTAAACCCTGCTCTGATATTTCAGCTGCAAATTCTGTTTGCCCGGATAATGACCTTGAATTTGAGGTGAGCAAATGGTCATTTGAGAAACTCAGAGATGAAGAGGGATGCTGGACGTTTGAGTTGAAGTTGAGGAAGGAAGGGCGAGAAGAACGCCCGACCTTGACATCTCTACCGGGTGGTTGGTCTGTAAATCCACTCCTCCCTTGGAACTCCTTGAGCTGGGTACGGTGATAGGCAAACAAGACAAATAGAATCATAAGAGCAGTCCCAACTGAAGCAACGATAATTGCTATTCTTATGCTACTCTTTGTGTGATGCCTCCCACGAAAAGACAACTGCTCGGGAGTAGATCCTGGAGATGTCGTTCCACCTGGGAGATTTAACTTGGAATTTCCGGGATAAAACGAAGAGTGCGGAAAATGCCTCAGGTTTTCGGGAACCATGCCCGACAGGTCATTATATGACACATTAAAGCCTGCCATGCCAGGGGGGAGCTTATCAGGAAGATGACCCTTAAAACTATTGTTCGACAAATCAAGGTCTTTCAGGCCTGTAAGCTTGTTTAGGTCGCTAGGCAGTTCTCCGGATAGCTTATTGTTCGCAAGCTTCAGAACTGCGAGTCTTTCCATTGCACTTATATCTCCAGGCAAAACACCCATCAGAGAATTAGTAGAGAGATCAAGAAGCTCCATTTGAGAATAGAAAGGCAGAGCCAAAAGTTCACTAGCATGCGAATTCCGAAGAGGAATTTGCCCTGTTAAATTGTTCAAAGAAAGATTCAAACTCCTCAAGGCCCCAAAGCTGAAGAAGCTAGCTGGAATCGACCCGCTGAATTGATTTGAGCTCAGATCAACCACAGACAACTGGGAAAGCCCCGAATTATCCCACAGAGAAGGCAAAGCGCCATCTAAGGAGTTATTTCTGATGTTCAATACACTTAATCTCGAAAATGCAGAAACGAAATCTGGCAAGCTCCCCGACAAGTTGTTTGAACTCAGATCAAGAAACTCTGGAGTGGCTTCCCACTTCTGTATAACAGATATATCCCCAGAGAACATATTCCCACTCAGATCTATCACCAAGCATCTTTTCAAAGCGGATGGCAGATCCCCGGACAGGCCATTCAAGGAAAGATTCAACACGGATAAAGTTGTGGAGTTGATTTCAAGAATTGATCCTGCATACGACAGCAACATACAGATGTTTAGTCCTAACCCGCAAATGATGCATCAAGGAAATACATCCATAGACGTTTTCTCGGTCTATTATCTTGAAAAGTTCACACTATTTCTAGAACCAACTTCGATATTCTTAACATCACTAGCAATCAAACCCAACGAGCATTCGTATTAGTAGAAATTGCCTAGTCCAAGTAATCCAGCCCAAAGGACAGACCTTTTCCCAGAATTTCCCTAATTCTCCACAAGTAACATTGTAGAAATGCGGAAGGAGCAATATCTCAGCGACTGGGCAAGTGCTGTCTTTTTCTCAAGGAAAAATCAAATACGTAGTTGCAGTACTTAGTAAAGAACGCGTATGCAGTAGGGATATCCCAAAAATATTTTCCTAGACGAGAGGGATTAGCCCAAAAATATCATCCTATCGTTTTCCTGAAAAGAATCGAGCAAAAAGCGGCAAAGGAGCTTCATTTTCCAGAATGATTGAGCAGTAGCAGGAAAAAAAATTACGCTAAAAGGGAAGATTTCGAATCACCTGTAAAACCATTTCGACTGAGATCCAGCTCCCGCAACGGAATCAAGCCCTGCAACAGTTCTTCCGGTATCGAACCAAACAACTGGTTACGACCAAGTTTCAACAATTTCAGACTCGGCAATGACCCGAAAGGCGGCAACTTGCCGTTGATCTGGTTATTTTCCAGGTCCAAAAGCTCGAGATTCTTGAACAAGCCAATGGAATCTGGGGTGAAAAACCCGCCGTTCAAGGTGTTGTGGCTCAAATTCAGGTGATGGAGTGTGTTCGAGATGCTCGAAATGTTATCCAGAGGTAAAGACAAACCGCCATGGAAGCGATTGCAGCTCAAGTCAACGAACTCAACGTTCTTTGACTCAGTGAAAATCTCCCCGACATCACCCCAAAGCTCATTTCCGTGCAAATCCAGAAATCTCAGCTGCTGAAGGTTCCGGAGCCCGCTGGGAAAACCGCCCTGAAACCTATTGGCGGACAAGTTGAGATAATTCAGACCCCACAGATCCGTGATCCGACTGGGGATGGGACCATAGAAGCTATTATCCGACAGATCTAAGTGCTGAAGCGACGATATCGCACCCAATGCGGGGACGACCCGACCGGAGAAGTTGTTGCCGGAGAGAGAGAGGTTACGGAGTGAGGTGAGGCCGAGAAGGGTACTGAACTTGAGCTCTCCGGAGAGGCCACGGCGGTCGAGATTGATGGCGACGATGGAGCCAATTTCCGGGTCACAAGAGATCCCAGGCCAAGCGTCAGGGCAGGTTTTCGGGTCGGAGAGGCCGTTCGTGACGGGCCATGAAATGGGTGGATTCGAAGAATCATCTCGGATCCCTTTCCGGAACTCGAGCAGAGATCGGAGCTCCGACTCTGTGACGGCGCCAGCGCCGCCGAGGAGTACAGAGAGAAAGCAGAGAGAGGTGACGAGACTGACAAAGAGACTCATTTAGCCCAAAAATGTCCCAAAAAATTGAGGAATTGAAGAAGATACAGAGAAACCCTACGGATGCATAGCTCAGAAAAAAGAGGAAGAGAGACACTGAGACGGAGATTTAGGGATTGTACTCGAAACCCTAGAATCTGGAAATGGAGAAGACGCAGAGAGAGAGAGAGAGAGGGCACTGGTGTGTGCTTGAGAGAGAGAGAGAGAGATGAGAGAGAATGTTCCAAGTTTTAAAAAAACCAAATTTCTCCAGTAAACATAGAGTTTTATAATTTATTTATTATTTTTTGGGATTAGACGAAAATTATCTTATATGTTTCTTATATAGACAGCATAGAATCACAATTTAACTTATATAGTTTCCCCATTAATTGAAACGATGAAATTAACAGCAGTAACTATAATCATCGCCAGCTTTACAGCAATGAGATGAGAGATCTTTTTACATGTAAAAAGATTTTATATACATATATATACACGTATATACTACATTAGGATTTGCAACTGAAAAGGTTAAGTTTTATAAATATTCAAATTTACTAAAAAAATATAAAATGTTATACTTGCCAGTTTCGTCAGTAATATTGTGTCTTTCCTACTATAATGTAATTAAATTTGTTTAAGATTGTTTTTTTAAATTTTTTTTCTCAAAACAATAAAATACATGATGTCATGAAAAAAGCACCGCTGTACATAAACAAAGCCAAGGAAGAATCTGTTAAAATATAGCGGTAAAGATGACGTGGCGGAAATTGATTGGTTGTGGGATGATGGGAACGGGCCCTCGCACGCATGTTGCGTGTTTTTTTTTTCCGCGCAATCTTCCATTTTTTTTTCTCACATGCAGAGGTAACGGCGTTAGGAGTAATTCCGTTATCCGTTTCACGTATATTTTGTCCGTACGCTGTACTCCTGAATCGGGAGGGAGGATGAACGTGATGCCTCATTATTACTCTGATGGACCGACCTGTCAATTTGTATGATATTTTTCTTTATTTGTTATAATACTTTTACGTAATATAATTATATAAATAGGCACACGTATATATATACACATCGCATGTATCTACCATACTCGTATTGTGTAGGGAGGTTATGATCATTGGGTCAATTTATTGCCCTATAAAGCGTTCATCTCTATACCCATAAAATAAAAGATGCCAACTACAATATTTCAAGTAGTTAATTTAATCGGTAAAAAAAAAAGTATAAAAACATTTGTATCCTTCCAAATTCAAATTTCAAATTAGAGAAATAAACGTAATTTTAATTACATATCTTGCTTCCAATTCCATAATTAGTATGAATATCGATTCAATATATCCGATTATCCAAAAAAAAAGTTATTCCGACAAATTTATCAAAAAAATCTTCTAACATTTTTTTTCTTCTCATGAGTCGGGGGTCCATAAAAAAACATTTTTCTATTTGATAATTGGCCGACCGACCACAACCAAATAACTTCGACATTTTTAATTACGAAATAAATCTGTTTTATTCGTTAGAAAACGATGTTTCGAAACATGACCATCATCGCTGCATCAAAATGTCAGTGGCCCTTGTAAATTTTGTAACGATATCTCAATAGTCAGCCCAAACCATAGGGACACGACTTGTCTTTAATCTAAATGAATACATTCTTTGGTTGTTTGTATAGTAACTAGTAAAATATCTAATATTTATTCCATTTTTTGTTATTATTATCACAATATTATAAAAATATATCCAATATTGGGTTGTACAACTCATAAAACTCATTCTCAACTTAGATTCGAATCTATATTTGATTCTCTAGAAAATGCAATTGGGTTAAATATCCGATAAATTTACAAATTATAAAAAAAAAATTGTGAAGATATAACGGAGATATTGTTTACTCAAATTTACCATTCTCTCATGCATGACAACTTGGTCATGTATATCCAGTAATTCATCAAAACTAGCATTCTATTATTTTGTAATTAAATCTTATATATATATATATATATATATATATTATTAACTAATTAAGGACATGCATTGATTCTTAAATTGAGAAATCGATATAAATAATATGATGCTAGTTTTAGTTAAATACAAAAAATTATTTGTGCTAGTTTTGACAATAGAACATTGTTCCTTGCAAATTAAGGACTCGCATGCGTGTGGAGATCGGTGGGCCACTCTCCACCCCTTTTATCTGATTATAGAATATTTTTCTATTATCTTGTAGAAAGTGCTTTTGACACTTTATTACTAGTTTTCGTTAAAAAAAAAAAAGGGAACATTGTCTGAATTAATGATCCAATAATATATATATGCATATAAATGTGTGTATATATAGTTTGAGACAAGTTCTCCAAAGCGTGGTATTCATGAAACTGTAGGTTTAGATATATTTTCAATACGGTGCGTTTAAATGAAAAAAATACGTATTTTCTAAGGTGGCGCAAATCAAGGTCAAGTTACAAAAAGAAGAAAAACAAAATATATATAAATATATATGAAGAGTCAAACAATTTGGCCGTGGATCATCCTCTTTCACAATTTCAAAGTATCGGTAGTACTTTAGCCAAATATGGTTTGCTTGTTTTTTTTTATATGGATAGAACCGTCTCATAACCCTTTAGGTCGAACGATATCTCGGACAATCAACCTTCCGATCCTGCAAAATAGTCGACAAAAAAATCGAATCCACAACCTCTGCGACTTGTCATTTTCCTATATAATTTTGGGTTTACACTATATTCTAATATTTTATGTCATACTTCTACATAGGTTTCCGGAAAAAGATTGTGTGTATATATATATATATGTATATATATAATATAACATAAGATTTAAAAGCATGTCTTTTTGATTTTCACTCTAGTAGAAGCTCGACTAAAAAGGTTAGGGAAAAATATTCCATGTCCTTATTCTCTCTCTATACATATATACATGTGTGTGTGTGTGTGTGAATGTATATTTATGGAGCCAATTATTGAATTATTTTGGTATTGAAAAATACATCTTTATGGCTGTCTTTTACTTTGTCGAGTTGGGCGAGAGAAATTCCAGGCTGGTTCAAGAATGTTGAGCCGCAGAGATTGTGTGTGTATATACATATATATATGAATAACCTAAATTCCATATACTATTATATTAATGCTACTTTACCTAAACAACGATATTGTAAGAATAGATTACCGTAAATTCAATGGCATAAAAAGTATGGAATTTAATTTAATAACAACAACTATATCATCATACAAAACAAATCAAAAGAACAATGGGCAGTAAATCTGTCTTACATTAATGATGCATTTTTGGTTGTCGTGAGGGTAACATGACATGCTCGATGGGTACGACGTACAAGTGTGTGCGCATACAAGGACATTTGCATAATTAAGAAGAAGAAAAAAAGGAGAGCTTTTAATTTAATTTATAATTCAAAACCCTGTTTTTTTAACCTCGGTATTTATTATTTGAGCCATTATACAGACACATGATGACACATTACAACAGAGACAACAATGTTTCATGATTTTGGTTCCTACTTCTTCTACTTCCTCTATACACTACAAATTCCACACCCTTCAGTTAATAAAAAACAAAAGTGTAAAAGAATGATTATTTTTTTTTTGGTAACCGGGTGTTTTGGGTCGAGCCCGAGACTAATACTGGGGTCGGAGTGAAGATGACGATTTCAGGACAGAACTTTTTACCTGTCCACGAGGAACTGGGAGTTGACAGCAACGGGCTCTTTGCTTTCAAAAGGGCTTCTGAAGATTGGGGGGGGGGGGGG